AAGAGGAAAAGAAAATGGAAACAAGGTCTTTGCAAATAGGGAAGGGAGGGCAAAGGAAGGGGAAAAAAATAAGAACCAAGAGACTCATGTAAAGGTACAAGATCCCAATGATGAATGTAACTGTATTTTATGCCAAAAATGTACCAATCAACTTAATGGGAAAAAAATACGCATGGGATAATTTCAATTGCTTTCCATTTACTTAAGCATGTTCTATGAGTTAGTATGTGGTCTATTTTGGAGAATGTTCCATGTGCAGATGAGAAGAATGTGTATTCTGATGTTGTGGGGTGGAACACTCTGTAGACCCATTTTATGTATTAGGTCCAATTATCCAAAAGATTGGTTCAGTTCTGATATTTCTTTGTTGATTTTTTTGTCTAATTGAGCTGTCTATTTGTGACAGTGGGTTGAGTTCCCCCATTACAACTGTATTAGTGCTTATTTGATTTTTCATGTCCATTAATATCTGTTTTATATAATTGGGAATACTGGTATTTGGTGCATATATACTTAAAATTGTTCTCTCTTCCTCTTGGATTATTTAATAAGAATGTAGTGATCTTCTTAGCCTTCTCTGATCAGCCTTGACTTGGAATCCACTTTCTCTCCAAACAAAATAGCTACCCCTGCTTTTTTCTAGGTTCCTGCACATGGAATATTTTTTTTCCATCCTTTGACTTTTAGTCTATGAATTTCTTTTTGAGTTAAATGAATTTCTTATGTACAGCGTATTGCTGGAGCTTGTTTCTTGATCGATTCTCCCAGTCTGTTTCCTTTGATAGGTGAATTGAGATCATTTACATTAATGGTTATAACTGATATGTATTGACTTATCCTTGTCATGTTATTTTCCTGTTGTTGGTTCCCTTTCTTTCCCCTCTGTTTAACCGCATTCCTTACCTGATGGATTCATTCCACTGGGGTTCATGGAGTTGTACTTTTTGTTATCTCTTTCTAGAATGTCCTTCAGAACATTTTGGAGTCCTGGTTTGGTGGTAATGAATTTATTCAGATATTGTCATGGAAGTAACTTATTTCTCCATCAATTTGGAAAGACAGTTTTGTGGGGTACATCAATCTGAGTTGGAGGTTGTTTTCCTTTACAGCTTGAAAATACTTCACTCCAAGCTCTTCTTGACTTAAGGGTTTGTGTTGAGGAGTCTGCTCTGATTCTGATGGGCTTTCCTTTATAGGTGATTTATTTCTTTTCTCTGACAGCTTTTAATATTCTCTTCTTCTGCTGAATTTCTGGAATCTTGACTATTATATGCCTTGGTGCAGTTTTTTGTTCAATCATGGCTAATTTGAATTCTATATGCCTCACTTATCTGTATGTCAAATTCTTTTTCCATGCTTGAGGAAGATTTCTGCCATTACTTCTGTGAACAAATTTCTTGTATCATTTGCTCTATCTCTTGTTTTTTCCTTGACTCCAATCAATCTTGTTATTTTTCTTTGCATCATCTAGCAGCTGGTGGATTGATTTTGTGTGGTTTCTTGCTATTTTTAAGAAATCTTTCTTTTCATGTTCGCTAACAACAAACCTGTCTTCTAGATCTCATATTCTGTCCTCACTTTGATTCATTCTGTTGGGTATATTTCAATAGAATTTTTAAACTCTTAGATGTCTTTTTGAATCTGTTTCATGGATTACATTTTTTCCTATGTTGAGCATTCATGGTTTCTATCATTTTCCTAAGCTGCTCTATTTATTTTTATCTGTGTCTACTTTAGGTTCACTAAACATGCCATTTATTATGGTAATCATGTCTTTAGTTACCTAAGAAAATCTTTTTCATTCATTTTTAAAATTTTTTTTTCCAGTAACGGGAATCAAACTCAGGACCTTGCACCTGCCAAGTAGGCACAGTACCACTGAGCTAAATCCCTGGAAATTTTTTCTAGATCCTCAAGCATTGCTTTGTTACTGCTACTGTTACCATTTTAGAGAGTTCATGTTGGGTAGCTTTTGAATTGCTTCACCTTGTTGCCCTCTAGATTTGCCTTGGGCAAGCTAGAAGTCTTGCTTCCTTGTCTTCTTCTTTTCTAATTTTTTAGCTTAATTTCTGCATTGATGCTTGTAAATTGCTTGTGGTAAGTAGCTTTCTTGCTAGTATCAAGAACTCCCTAGGAAGTGACTACTTTTCAGAGATGTCTTCTTGACTTTTGAGTCTGATCCAAGATCCTACCTTCTCAGTTTATCGGGGTTGAGAAGTTGCTGCCTCTTTGGTCTGGCTCCTGGTTCTTCAGTACTGGCCTGTAGTATTGTTTCTGTCCCTCAGGCGATCTCAGTCTTGGCATACAAGGAAGAAGAACTGATTAGAACAAGTACACCACCTTGGCTAAAGTAGTGCGATCAGTAATAACACCATGAAGCACAGCCTAGAAACTGACAAACTGCACTAACTATTAATTTGCCACCTTTAACTGTATGAACAAGATTTGTAGTTATAGAACAAAATCTAAGACAAACCAGAAAGTTGTATATAGTAAATATTCCCTTAATAGAGCTATTTTACCCTCAGGGGAGAAAATTTAAAAGGGGTTAGGGGAAAAAATAGAGAGATAGTAGAAGAGAAAGAGATTAGAAGAAAGGCTGGAGGACAAAGGAAGATTTCACAAGCTTTGGAAAACTGGTGAAGAAGGCAGGAGCGAAGGAGAGAAGGAAGAAGCAGAAACAAGAACAGAACAAAGCAACAGAAAAACTAGAAACAAAGTTCTCATTCATATAAAAACAAGAACAGACAATCAGGGGAAGAAAGGCAAAGAAAGAAAAAATCACCACTTCAAGGTGTGTCTCTGCTGTCACTGGTAGACAAAGAGGGAGACAGAGCCCAGATCTGCATTGGTTGATCCCAGAACGCCTGCAGGAGAATTTCAGCAGGGCAGTGCATAATCCCACCAAGCCTGTGCTTTCAGCTCCACTGAAGTACAGGCTGGTTTTGGTTTCTGGTTGAGGCTGGGACCCAAGTTGTTCAGCTCACAACACTCTGGGAGCCTCCTGCTGGCTTGAACTCGGCTCCCTGACCCTGGGTGTCTCCCATGGCTGTGCCTCACCCTGATACTGGGAGCCCTGCGATGAAGCTAACTCATTGTTGCTCTGAGTCCTGGCTTCAGCTGTCCCCGTTCCAAAATGGCAACTGGCCATCCCTCTCTCCTGGAGACTTCTGAACTGGAATTACTCAGTCTCCACTCCTCCACTCTACTGCTCCACAGTCACAGTGCCATGGCAGGTTTGAGCCACCTCTCTCCCACCATGAGCTGGGATTTAGGGAGAAAGCACCATTTGCCACCTCCCTCTTCTGTGTTGAGGTCCCTCTCTTTGTCCTCCCCATGGGCTCCAATTATTGCTTCAGATCCTTGCTGGGTCCCAGGGAGCTACCCTTGCCCATCTTTTCTTTCCCACGTTGTTCTAGTCTGGCATCTGGACTCCAAATCTGGGAGAGGCTGATTTGCTACTGCTCACCACTCCGCCATCTTCCCGGAAGTCCAAGGACAGGTATTTCAATTCCTATTCATAACACTGTGTAGCGAGTCTCTAACTCTTGCCTCAGAATATTTTACAGAGAAATTTCAGGTGAGACAATTATAACCAGAAAATGGTTCTAGAAAGCAGGGCTGCAGGACGGGATTTCGAGTAGTATCACTCACTCCTCTGAATCACCTCTCTACCTCTTAGGGTGCTGTTTTCCACCAGAGATTTAATACTGGTCTCTTTTAATGTTCTTATTCCTCATATCCAAATTCCTCAAGTCTCATGGCTTCAAAGACTGTCCTTAATGACGAATCCAAAATCTGATCTACAGCCCAGATATCCTGAACTACAGAGCAGTGTATCCAACTACCTTCCAGGGGTGGTGAAGATTTCAAATCAACCTCTCCTGATCCAAATTCATCCTCTCCCCAACAGCCAATCTACCCCATGTATCCCTGTCTTGGCAAAACCTGGAGTCATTCTGGATTCCTCATCACTTCCACCTTTCACACTCATCTGAGTATTAAGCGCCATCTTTTCTTTTTTCCTTTCTTTTCCTTCTTCTCTTTCCCTTTCTTTTCAGAGAAGGTGAGTTTGTGAGCATGCTGGACAAGTGCTTTACCTTTGAGCTCTATCCTTAACCCAAGTCCTATCTATTATTCTGTCTCAAGAATCTGAAAACATCATTTTTCTCCATCTTCACTGCTATAACCTAATTAACTCTGTCATCCCCCCATTCATTCTTGCCTGAAATAATGACATGGTCACTACTTGGCTTCGCATTCTCTAACTATTATCCTCTGACATTGTTTCTCCATGCTACGGCCAGCACGATCTTTCTGAATTGCAAATCTAATCATTGGGGCTGGGGTACAGCTCAGTGGTAGGGCATGTCCTTAGCATGTGTGAGGCCATAGGTCCATGCCCAGCACCACAAAAAAGCAAACAAACATGAAGTTTAAAATCACCAGCGTCTCTTTCACTGCTTGTAGGATAGAATCTAATTTACTGATCAGGTCTAATGAGATCCTTTACAATCTGGACCCCCGTTCCTGCCAAACTCACCTTGTATGACAGCTACCAGTGCCTCAAACACAGCTGCCCTCTCTGCCCATGGACTTCTCCACAGAAAGCTGCCTTTAATAAGAATGCCTTCAGCATCTCTGTCCCTCCCAGCTCCACCCTTCAGGTCTCAGATTTGGCATCATTTTCCCCCAGAAGACCTGTTGAGTCCCCAAGACTTGAGGTGATGGGATCCAGAGCTCCCTGCTCCTTTCATTCTGCAACACTTACAGCATTACTGTAACTGCTTTTAATTGTTATTTTCCCCATCTGACTGGACAGCTTGTTTGTCTCACTGCTGAGAGCACAAAATAGATAGAGCCTGGCACATGGGCAACACTCTAAATATTTGATGAATGAATGACCATCATTTTAAAGAGAGAGAATGGCTCCCAGGCAAGGAGAATTTCTCCAGGATATGATTAAATGTATCGACATGTCTAAATAAAGATGTATCAATCATTAAAGGGGCCAGTCAGTTTGGAAACACAGAATAAGGTGAACTGTTGAGTAAATGCCATAAAGCCTGTCTGAGTATATCCAGGGATGAAGGCATATTAGCTAATGGACTTCGAATGTTGTGGGCCTATTAGTAAGAAAATCTGTCTCATGAAAGGGATATGTCAAGCTCTTTAGCTGGGTGCCATTAACTCCTCCTTTTCTAACTCCACACTCATGTAGCAATTTTATATTTATTATGTATCTTCTCATACAAATCTGACTACCGGGAGAATGAATGGTGGGCAGATTCTGAGTATTTCAGAATCTGTGATGATGTCTTGTCATGCTGAATTAATGAACTGCCTGCATGTTTCGGTGTGCCCTGGCCATGAGCTGACCTGGGTGGGGCACTGAAAACTGTTTGCTCTTTGGACACTTCAACCAGTCTTTAAACACTTTAACTGACAATAATTATATCTGGTCACGGGATATAGATGGATGCTCTGAATTATGTATAAATAGTAGAAAGATCCGATCAAGCTAATTCACCTATCACCTCATCAATTTATTTTCATGCATGTGGCGAGAACACAAAAAAATCTGGTAATGACTTTTCTATCCTCTTTTACTATGAGATTGACTTTTCTCCGAGTTCACATCTCAATGGGCTTCCATAGTATTTGTCTTTTTGTACTCAGCTTATTTCACTTAGCATGTCCTCCCATCTCATCCATGCTGTTGCAGAAGACAGATGTCCCTTCTTTTTAAAGCCATGTAATATTCCTTTCCATATATGGATCATACTTCCTTGGGGTTTTTTTGTTTTCTTTTGTTTTGGTACCAGGGATCGAACTCAGGACCTTGTACTTGCAAGGCAGGCACAATGCCACTGAGCTAAATCCCCAGCCCTGGGTTATATTTTCTTAATCTGCTTATCCATTCTTACTTTACATCTTCGGCTCAGTGTGCTGGTACATCGATGGAGTCCCTGGAAGCTCACAACAGGCCTGAGCCCACCAGGCCAGAAACCGGGCCCTGTAACTAAATTCCTTCCAGTTGCCAGTGGGTTCCTGGCTAATTCAGGATTCCTGGTAAAGGAACTCTGGCACATAATTAAGACATTTTTGTAACATTTTGCCCTTTAACAAATGGAGAGAGTTATCTTTTAATTTACTCCTTAACTTGGATAGTTTCTAAGTCACAGTGACCAAAAGAACACCAAATGAATGAAAAGTTTATTAAGGTAATTTTAAAAAGTGACTGGGTAAATGTCATTAGAAATACAGGATCTTGGTATGGCTCTACAGAGCAAGGCTCTAGGCTCATTTAAAAACCTAGCAACAGGAACTTGTATCTTAAAAATATATATGACCCTCTGTTGTTAGTGGAGTAAAAAAGAAGTAGAAACCTCAAAGCGGCTCCTTTATCCCCATAATCATGGTGTCTGATACAAGATGGTTTGACAACTAAAAGACAGTGCAATAGTTTTCTACATATCTGGAGAAAAAGCATGATGGTTTATAATTTCAGTTTTTGTAAAATGAATGAAATTGCTTATTATCAATTCTACTTAATGAAAGTATTAATCCAAATAACTCGAGTAAAAGTTGTACAGCTGAGGCTGCCACCTTGTAGAAATATATGTATTATACCTCACGCAGACTCTTCAGCAGCATGTAAAAGTTGCACCAATTAATGCTGTTTCATACAGGAAGGTACGACTCTTCATTTAGATCTTTGTCTTTTAAAACCAAAGTGGACATGGGATAATTGGAATCAGTCTTAGAACCGGGCTACTTATGAATTTTTCTCAGAGTGGATGTTAGTCTACGGCCTCATTTCTGTCCTTATATCAAAGAAGGAGTTCCAGTTTAAATTAATGCAAAGTACAAGCACATTTAGCATTAGATTACACCTTTCATTTCTCTAATGACTCAAGCAAAACATGAATTTTCTTTAATTAAAATATGCATGGGGAATGATAATGAAAATTTCTCTAAGGTTATTACACCTTTTGGAAACTAACCTCATCATACATGGAAGAAGAATGAAGGAAATGTAGAAGAAAAAAAGAAAGGAGAAAAATAAAAAGACCTAAGAAAAAAGAAAAGTTAAATGACTTTCACCACTGATGCAGGAAGATCATAAGTTTGAGCCAAGTATTGAATATTTCGGTCATTTATATTAGGGAGACCCTGTCTCAAATAAATAAATACATAAGTAAGGGCTGGGCACTGTAGCTCAGAGGGAAGGCTCTAGGTTCAATCCCTAGTACTTTAAAAAAAGGAAAAAAAGAAAA